CTACATGTATATGTAATCATGTACACAACACACTTTAAAATTTACCATGCACTTCACCCTGAAGGTGATCTTTTCTATACTCTAGTTTACACTAATCCTGAAAACAGCATTGACAAAAAGGAACCACTCTAATCCTGCTAACTCACCCTAGCTTCACTGCATTTCCCATAACCCTGCAGCAGTCACAATTCATTCTAATCACTTTACAAAACAATCTTTAGTAAAAAGAGGAAAAATGCAGACTTGTGAGCCAATTTAAGAAATAACTGCTGATACATCAGTTATTGACTATTTCACTCCTGCTCATGATAGCGCTCAAGGCAAAACTGAGAACAAAATGACAACATCAACTGCACGCAATAAACTGTGGCCCAGGAGAGCACTGAAGCCCTAATTGACAGCTGTCAAGCTAATGGGAGCAATGGCAGCTGATTCTCGAAAATTCTGTTTTCCAGCAGGATATTCAGTGGAATCTATCAGGCCTTTTTACATTTATGCCCCGTTTTCTTTTTGCATTGTTCCTCACACTTTGCAGAAAAAAAGCAGAGGACAGCCATAACTAATCATTTTGTCAGCTTGCTGCTAGGAAGAATCTCTGTCCAACAGAAAAATATGTGGCAGGTTTGGAGGCAAATAACATACCAAGGGCTGACACTGCAAGTACCTTTATAGGTAGTCTACTTTATCGCTACATTTACTTTTTGGGGTATGTATGTAGTTGCCAGGCATTTATGTAGCTTCAAGCAATTCCCATGAATTAGGAAATGCGTTCAACTTCCTGAACTCATATCTACATGTCTAGAATTTTGTCTAAAGACCTATGTGTTATCTCTCAACAGAATTTTTGTTATACACTTTTGGCCTGATTTTCAAAGCTGCTGAGAACCCACAAACACCACTGAATTCAATGGAAACTAAAGATGCTCAGCACCTTTGAAAATTAATCTATCAGTTATATTAAAGTGTTCATGTTGATGGTATGTGCCTCTTCAGAATGTAAGCACTAAGGTTGGGTTTAGAGAGCTAAATGGAGCAGAGAAAGTGTGTGGATTATTTCTACTGTTTAGAACACATTTCAGTAGAAAAAATATCATGGCCCCAAGTTCTATAAGAGGTTTCAAATGCAGCATTATTGTCTGGGCCTGAAACCAGTAATTGTTTCATTCAATAAAAAAACGTAAATGAGTTTCCAACAAATCATTACAGTTTCCAGTCCTTTTAAAGAGCGAGAATAGAATGTATAGAGAATGTGTATTAAGTCTTTTCAGTCAATGAGAACTAAACCACATTGTCTTAATCTTTTAAATAGATGTGTTTGTAAAAAAAAAAGCTATAATTTAAAGATAGATAATTATTGTTTGCATGAACCAGACTAGCCTCCATTAGTATAGTATTGCTTAGCTCTCCTAGACAGTAGCCTTTAACTAATAAGTGTTTTTCTCCCTTCTAACTTAAATGGCAAAAGTCACTGGAACAGCAACTGTAATTTAGATATTTCCCTTGCATTAACAAGTGTAGTTAAAAACTATGATCCTCTGACATTTTCCCCCTAATTTATCCATGATATTCATCTATCTTAAAGCAAACAAACTGAAATTTTCATTTTTATAGATTCTTGATTCTTAGAGACAGCTTTAGTCTTCTACAGTGTGGTGTTAACACTTGGGCTAGACATAAAGAATTTGTGCACCTGTCTGTTATGTCTGCAAGCTCTGTGCTGCTGAGAGTTCTTTGTTGTTGTTATTCTACTCCAGACCATTAAAAGGGCCCTAATTCCTATGACATGATTATCCAGGTACCAAAGCCCATTTGTCACCTGCAGCAGAAAATTGAGTTAATGCACAACTAAAGGCAACCAGGACTGTGTAATATCAACTTGATTACATCAAACTAGCTGCAAACCTAATTCTGCTGGATGACACTGCGTGGAGCTTGTCATCTCCAATCATTAAAGCTGTCAGGAATCCATCAGGTTTACAGCTAATTAGGTGAACACTAATGAAGCTGGCAAAACAACTTTTCTTTTTTTATGGCTGAGCGGACCTTTCAGTTTGGAGAGAAAAAAAATCTCGAGTATTCTCAAGGTTGCTGGGGACTGGATTTCCTGAATTACCAATCAGCAGACATCTTTAATTCCCCCCATCCTCCCAGTCCTTTTATTTATTTATTTATTTTCGGTCTACCGGTACAAAGCAATCAATTTGTCATCACTCTCAGTATGCCACAAAAGCAGTCATGAACCTTATAACTTGCAGCTGTGAAGCCAAAAAGAAGGAAAAAAATGAGAAGTTTCTTGTGCCTCATAATAATAATAATAAAAAAAACCCTCACACAGCTCACTTATTTATCTTCATGCACTTATCAACAGCATAAATGTTTTGGTGTTTTTTCCCCCACTCTTCTTAAATAAGTAGCCCTTCAGTCATTCTACATCCCTCATATCCATTAGGCAGAGGCATTTTGATAAAGTAAAGCCAAAGCTAGTGTATGGGAAAGAATGAAAGCACTCACTCTGCCAACTTCTGATTGACCATTAAGCTATTGATGAATGTGCCTGTCAGGAGAGAGACAATTAAATCAAATATGAAACAAAGTCGTTTTGACGGGTCATTTTGATAGAGCAAAACCATTCTTCCATCTCCTATTAGTCCTGCAGTCAAGTTTTTGTAATGAATATTTCTTAACTAACCTGCTATTTCTTAGCTGTTTTTAAAAAGTGTAAAAAATACTTTTGGCTATGCTGCCAATAGGAAAAATAACATTTCCAAGCTGATTAATAAAACAGCATTTAGCAGGAGGCAATGATCATAATAATTATGTTTTATGTGGCAACCCAAAAGCTACAAATGTAAAGATTACATTTTTACTAAATGTAAAAGATATATCATACATCATGACTAGTTCACTTAAACCAAAAACAGAAAGACAGAGTACTTCAAAATGTGAGAGTTCACCAGGGAAAGATTCTCCTAGAGTCTTAAAGTCCAAACTATAGCTCACCTCTTTGAAGAATATACCTAACTTTTCAGAAAACCAAGTTCTTCAAAAACTGAATTACATTTACAGCCTAGACTTTTCAAATTATGTTGAAGGACAAAGTTTTGAACCCATTTTACAAGTATCATTATTTGATGGCACTAACCTGAAATTCAACATATTAAAGTGTATTATTTAAATAAAATGTTTGTTAGAGTATATTACTATTGCACTTTAATATGTTCCAAACTTTCCAAATGTCAGTATGTAGACTAAGACTACAAAATCTACTGTGAACAAGTATAGTTTCTTCTATTACAAAAACAAGTAAGTGTACACTTAAGGAGGTGAGGAAATGTACATACAGTTGTGTATATTTTATTTTATTCATTGTATTGCTTGCTGCTTACTAAGTTCAAATCATGCCATTTTGAGAGCTTGACATATTTCTAAGTGCACTGGCAGATTTTTTAAAGCATTTCTTCTGACAATGCTCTCATAAGTAGCAGGATTACTTTATTTAAGTTTTAGTAGGGAACACTGAATGGACTAATTAAAAGTATTACTATAGCCACTTGGCAAACTACTACATTCATGCATACATATGGGTCCCTCCTAAAGAATGCACCATGACTGCTTCAGTCTACACTTAAATTATTGGTCCCCAAAATAGCTAACCCTTCCAAATGAAGAGAGAGACTATATCTCTATCCATTCAGTGTAAGTATCATCCATATCAAAATGCATGTCCATGTGATTATGTCACAAAACTAACCAAAAGTCCCTAAAGTTGCACTGACAGAGAGTTAACAGGCCATATATGACGTCACTGAGTCTGGCGTTACCATGGCAAGTGATTTATTGATGTTTATCGGGAATGAATAGATCAAAGGCAGCCAGATGACAGGCGATCAATCAGCCATCAAATCAAGGATGGCAACAAGCCAAGGAAACCTTTTTCCACCCCACATACCTCCATTATTGTAAAATAATGTTTTTATTGGGTTTTCCCCCACCCCTCCACCCACAATTTGGTCCTTCCAGAAAATGCTGCTCAAGTTTAAGAGGAACTGACATTCCAGGCATAAAGAAAGAGAACAAAATCCACAAGGGCAAAAGCCCAGAAAAGAATTTCTTTAAAGGAAAAAAAAGAGGGGTAATGCAAACCCAGCATCAAAAATACTGGCTAGTTATCGGACAACACACCCTTTGCATTGGTTTCCTTTGCAGCTCCCCAGTTTGGGCTCATAAATGAAAAAATCAATAGGACTGGGGAAGAGGTTGCCAAAGAAAGTGACCAACTAGGCAGATCTGTTGGTCCAGTGGAGGTGTCTACAGTGCAGTACAAGGGGAAGAGGGAGAAAGATAAACTTGGATAAAGGAGTCTTGTCTATGGTTTGATCTTAAAGTAACATTGCAAGTCTGTAATATCACTCTGTGCCACTTACCATACATACATACATAAATACATACATTCATACACTAGCTGTTTACAAAGAAATTATCAATGTCTTTAACAAACTGCTTGTGAGTGTGTGAAAGAAGGGGATGGAGGTTGTATAGGGAAGGAAGGGGAGAAAATCAAAGTGAGTGCCAAAGCAGGGATTGGAAATGAGCAACATTTACCTCTCTTTTCCTCCACCCCTATAGCCACACACATCTTTTCAACGTTCACCTCTATTATATCCCTCGTTTTCACAAAGTGTTGTCCACAAAACAGAGGAATGGGAGGGGGGAAGGGAACAGCGGAGCTGGGAATAAACCAAAAGTAGGAAAAAAGACCATCATGCCCAACCTCCAGCCCCAAAGGGGGGGGGGGGAGGCCACAGTGATGTGTCTGCCTGACCAAGTTTACTCTGCAAAATCCAAGGCGTGCAACGTGCAATCCCGGGGAGCGAGGCAGAAGGGAAGCTCAGCGCAAACCCAACTAGCTCTGCCCGCCGGAGAGCTGTTATGAAAGAGACAGAGGCGAAGCGAGAGAGGAGAGGGGAGAAACAAACCGCCGGGGAAGGCAGCTCTCGTACCTGCTGCGCGCCGGGGCGCTTGCTGCTTCCTCCTCGGCATGCTGAGCTCCTGCTGCCGCCGCGGGTGCCAGGAGGGGGTGGGCTGCCTCGGGGCGGGAGTGGGCAGAGTTGCTTCAGCCCCGCAGATCCGGTGAGCGGCTCCAGGCTCGGCGGGCGGGCTCGGGGGTGTTGCGGCTGTGCATGCGGCGGCGGCGGCACGCAGGGGGAGGCGGGCAGGCGGAGGGGGAAGTTTTGACAAATCGCCCCAGAGGCCGGCGGCGGGGAAGCCCCCCGACGAGGGGTGCGCGCAGGAGGGCCGGGGAGCGCCCGCCGTCCGCCCCGCCCAGCCCCGCACGCCCGGTGCCTGGCCGGGCTCGGAGATCACGGCATAAAGAAGGGGGGGTCGCTGGCAGGAGTCGGCAGAGCTTCAGGCTGCGCCCCTCGCTCCCTGGCTCCGGCTCGGCGCTGGAGCGGCGGCGGCAACAGGCAAAGCTTGAAGGGAAACGAGATGATCGCAGTGTCACTCCAACTAGTCTCGGGAGCGGGGCACCGCGCTCCCCCCGGCCGCGCCTTAACTCTTTGCGCGGCGCGCCGCAGGCGCCGCCAGAGGGACGGGCTGGCGGGGGGGGGGACCCC